CATTACCAAGTGAAACAAACAACCAGCATACTTTTGTTTCTGTTAAAATTGTGTCAGGAAAAACAAATATTGTGTCACTGTTTCTGGCAAGATACCTGTGTTTACTTGCTCGAAAATAACCGAACGAACCCTAACCAAAAGAAGCCTCACCTCATGTCATCCTGCCTTACCTATTTGTATCTCAGCAGCATTTTTGAGTCACTGAATCTGTGTAAATTGCTTCCGCTACTTACCATGCAAGTAACCAACTTCAAGGGAATGTTCCACGTTTGAAGATATTGAGATAAGCATCAGGCACGATGGAAAAAGCCTGCTTGTAAGTACTGGTAAGCTTTCAAGATTCAAAAACGACCCTAAATAGCAAAATTTCGAAGTCTTTTAAAAATGCGCCCCATTACGTCATCGTTTGATGGCGCAATGAATGGCAGCCAGACGTATAGAATACCTCGAAACGCACAAAAGCTGACGCCGGTCTGCCATTCTTGTCGCGGGCGCTGTGTGGGGTGACGAATGAGTGGATAGTTTGTTTGTGGATTTTTGTCTTGGTACTGGTCGTGAGAAAAGCTTTAGTGGAATATTTGACATACGCAACGTAGCGATCGCCGGGTCTTATGGCAGATTATTAATCAGTGCTGTAGTCCCGACATTGATATGTGATGTACACAGGAGTCACTTTCTTTGTAACTGGAAATGCAAAGACCGTTTTGCATGCAAAGATTAAGAAAAATGTAATATTTACGAATTGATTGCCAAAGCATTGTTATGGCTTTGGTAAAGATGGTAAGGTTGGGCTACCAAGAATGTTGTTCTTTCTTAGGGCGATTTATGCAATCACCAGTTTCCCCTGATATGACCATTGCAATGTGGCACCATTCTCGACGGTGATAGTTCTTTGGCGTTGTTAAATCAGTTGTTGCCAGTTATCCATGAACTATAAACTGTTATCTCATAGGTTTGACATGGAGTAGTCAACCAATGTGGTACATTGTGCAATGGCACAGGTCAACAGCGTCATTGTGACACTACCCCAGTGCTGTATTGTGGCATGGCGTGAACAACGATATGGTTTCTGTACCGCGATCCCTGCTGCTTTCATAATGAATTTCATCATAAAAAGATGGGCCAATGGTGCATTCCTGCATCATTTCAGCATAGGACATGTTACTGACCAAAAACACATGATGGAATATGCAAATCACTTTCAGCAAAGCACACAACCAATAAGTGGCATCACTTGGTAAGCCTGCTTTGGAAATCCACAAAACGTAGGTGGCAAAGATGCGAACGAACACAGATGGCAAAGATGTCTTCCACTTCCACGGCCATGCAACATTCTGCAGCCATCAGGCTCTTTCACTAAAAAATAACAAGAAAATACTGCATGCAGTGATATGACATTGCAAACCGGTTAACCTTCCACAAAGCTGGAGACAAGACAAGTGCATGTAGTAATGGCTAGATGGGTGGAATGCAAGGAAGTGATGAAGCTGCCAGTGCACACAAGGCTCATGATAAAAGTATTATTAAGGGCTATCCAAGAAACCAACTGCAATCCTTTTCCACCTTTCTCAGCACCGAGCATCTCACAAGTTGCAGTGACTATGACATTGATGACTCACAAGCAATGGTTACAAAATTTGGAATTCTTAAGAGGAAGACAATTTTGCAAAGCTGTATCATGTGAACCTATACCAAACATGTGCGTTAATGAGCTGCGCAGACCGGACCCTACCGCCGAAATGAATTGCTAATGTAATGGCATGCAATGAATTAATTACATGCTGTATGCTTCGATAGGTTCAAAATGTTCACAAAATCGTAATGAAGTAGCAAATCGCTTTCGTATACCCTTGCAACATAGGTCGTCGTCGTCATTTGGGCTTTACGACGCACTCAGCTTCTGAGGCTATATGGCGTCGCCTGCCTCTCGCCCTGGCAGGAAGGGCGGGCACCGCGGGGAATCGAACCCCGTGCCTCTGGTTTCCCAGACGCGCAGTGGTTAACGCAGACGCGTCAACCACTACACTACCGGCACCCTTTCAACATAGGCACTAGCGTTTCTTTCAGTTTACGAGTATCACTACCTTGTCCTGTTCAAACACAAACATAAATATAGAAGCAGAAATCGATATATCAAATTTTATTGGGAGTCATTGGACTCAGAGAATACTAAAACAATGCTCTCTGAGAAGTACGAACCTCGCACGCACACTTCCCATCACATCAAGGTCAGTACACGGCACTGGCACGCACCACTAGTGATCGCACTCATTTCAAACCAGAATCACACTCTTTTAAAATAAGTGTGATTCCACACTCGCACAGCTCGCGGGACTATCAAATTGCAGGTTTTCTCACAATTTCCGCGCGGATTTCCGGTCATAACACCGCATTTCACCGTGAGCTCCCTCCCAAACAAAGTCCCAACGGGAGTTCATGGTAATGCAGCTTAAGGGGTTGTACTTTAAGGATTGAAAGCGTAAATATCAATCATGTCCACCAACCTACAAGATTAAAATGCGAAGTGGGTAAGAGGAGCTCTGCACTAAGGATATAATAAAACAATTTTGCACTGCATAATTTTGCTACCAAACACTTTTGCGTTAGCTGTGCCAGGTTCGTCCCAAAGGTATGCGTGGCATAGGTAACACAGTTGTAATAATCTTATTCCTCGGAGAAAACCCAGAAGTATGGAGATATAGATGCGTTGATTTATCGGGCACGTGTCATTATCGAAACGAATTGGAGAATTATCAACGTATGTATTTTTACATTATCCAGGTTTTTCTCCAAGGAATAAGGGTATTACTACTGTTGTATTCTCTGGCTTAGCACGCGCTCGGGTGGGGGTCACATTGACCCCACGAAGGTTTTTCCGGATCGGTTTCCGAACGGCGCGGTGTAGCGGCGCCAAATATGGCATAACTGTAAACAATTGAATAGCGGATCGTCTGACACCAAAAATTTACGAGTACCTTGTAAGGTCCCTGACCTATGGCAGGTCAAAGTTAGGCCACGGTTTCAGCGAAGGCACGTTCTGGGGGTTGGTTCAATCCGATCAAACAACGGAATGTTAGACGAGACCAGACATCCCTGAGATACTTTCTTAGGTAACACAACAATTTAATAAACAAATTGCATTTACCTAGGGCCAGGCGTAAAGGTCAGATCGAGGTCAAAACCGACCTGTTTCATTACTCGGACTTGCTGTAGGGGCTGGTTTCTGGTGCTCATTTCGAACATATTGATGGCAGGAACTGCATTATACACCTTCTATGGACTCCTTATAGGTCAGAATAGGTCACTAACTTAAAATGACCCATGGTCAACATTTTGTTTTTAGGAACATACTGCCTAGTGTAATCTTTGTCGCTTATCCAAATGGCTGGAATAGCTTAGATTATCACTACCGAGCCACGCCATAAACAACTTAAAGGCTAATTAGGGGTCTAGCAAGGCAAAAGTGGCTTTAAGATGATTTTCTTGCTTCAAATTGTGTCCTTCATTCCCTATGAATTGTTCACTCTTGGGTGCATATCAAACATGCTTGGACAGCTGGCGAATTAATTCGATATATTTATGAATCATGGTCAAGTTTGCCGTTAGAAAATTTGGCAGAGAAATTGGTAAACATTTTAGGCATTAGCTGTCTTTACAGATTATCGAAAATGAATGTATCAATTCTGTATGAAACCAAGGTAAACAAAAATGATAAAATAAGCATAAAAACTTAATCTGCACGGTAAAAGTTTTTAATCAACACAGTTGACTATAAATGTGTACAAATGAGGGCTGAAATGGCAACATTTAGCTTTTAAATTTCATTCAGAATGCATGCCTTGATTTTTTCACCCCTGCATTTAGAGAGTTGTGCAGTGGGTAGTCAACTTTCTTCGGAAAAAATACTACGTCGATCCAAATTATCTAACATGCTTTGCTGGTGTTTGTACTAGACTTTGCTTTGCTCACATGATATTTACGTAGTTTGGGGATCCAAGAAAACCTGGTATTTCGCACAAAGCTGAAGATTGTTATGCATTTTGTAAACAAACCAAGATTGATAAATGCAAGCGGCTGGGGACACTGGGGCTCTCGCACTTGATTGTACCTAGTACCCTTACTCTGTGCATACATAAGCGTTATAGGATTCAGATGTAGGTGGGGCACGATGTAGCCATAGGTGTCCAGGTTCTGTGGAGCCCTGTTTACACTTGATAGTTTTAAGTGGGTCCGATTCGGATATCATTTTAATACCATTGGAAGGGAAATGTGCGTTAAGTATGTGTGGTTAGGCAATATCAGGTTGGAGTGAAAAATTAACATAATATGTGGGGAAGAGGAGTGAAAGATTCCTCCTCAAAGGGTGTTGCTTTACATCCAAAGTGGGCAGGCATAGGACACTGGCATTTTCTGTCCTAAAAAGGCCTCATAACTAATCGGTTCATGATTTGCGCACAGAGGTGCGTGCTGATTCGCACACTTTGATCCGCGCTGGCCAGTACATTTACCCCTTCTCTCTTGCGTCAGTAATAGCTTGTCTTGTGCCGCTGCAACGTCGGGCGATCGAGATCTTCACCTAGTTTCTACCTAGTCATACAATTTCTCCCAATCTGAAGGTTTTCATTTTCCATGGTAATCAAATTTGGGACGTGATATTGCGGTATTGCAGGAAATACCGTCTGGCCAAGCAGTTTGTACGCGTATTCACAGCAATTTCTGCACTACTATTTTAGAGCAATGTATTTCTTGTTGAAAATGGCGTAAATAGTCGATCAGTCGCTGCGAAGATATTGCCTTCGTGAAGGCGTGACGACGCGACCGAATCGCCTAAGTTGAAAATGTTATCAAAGCTTAGGTAAGGCTTACTCTGCCCGTGGCCTCGTTCGCAACAGGAGAAGGAGATTTCGTGGTGCGGGGAGCTGGCTCCAGTGATTTGATGGCGTTTCTCGGCCTGGAACCTCGTTGTCCCCAGTGACCTGACGGGCCGTGCCATTCCGCAGGACGGGCGTGGCCCATGACCTTCGGCCTGGGCTCAGGCCTCGGCATGGGCTACTCCAACTGCCAGCACAGTTTCGACGAGCCGTACCTGGTGCGAGCCGACCGGTCAAGGTGGGTACCCGTCTATCGCCCATCGAGTGCCTCCTGCTGCGGTGGGCGAAGCTGTTGGGGCAGCGGAGAGGAAGGTGACGAGGCGAGGTTCTCCCGGAAAAACTGATGCTGCTTGTGCTACGGTGCTGTAATTCGTTCAGGGCGGCAGCGGCTCGGGTGCGGCTTTCAGCCGGTCCTGACACGTCTGTGCCGGCGCCAGTCACTATTGACCATTTGCTGTCCTTGTTGCAGTTTGTTTGCCACTAACAATGCTGAAATTAACTATCCCTTTGCGAAGTGAGTTTCATATGCCGGTACTTCCATTATGCCAGGGTTTTAGTGCATATCATGCTGCCGTATAAAAGACTCAAAAGTGTCAGCATTTCAGATGTGCGGTTCTTTTTTGCAGTCAAAAAACAGCTCCTCCGAATTATGCCCCTGTTCCAGCACATTAATGCATGCAACTGAATGCAGTCGTATCTTTTCTTTCGTGGAACGTGGTACGACATGAATTACCCAAAATGAAATATTTTCCATAGGATTATGATATGAATAGACAGAAATAATAGAAATGAATTAATATGACGAAAAGAAAATGTAGGCGCGCGTTAAGCCCACCCAACTTGACCACCTTGTCTTCTGACATGCTCCCCCCCCCCCCCGATTCATACCCCCCATCGCCAATTGCCCCGCGCTTTACTTTTGTTTCATTAGAAGTTTCGCGGGTATAAAATGGCTGAACAATTTCCACTTTTGCAGATTTGCATTAGTTCCTTAGCTGAATTGCTTTGTATTCCAATACCCCCATTCCACCATATCTCACAATAAAGGACATCTCACTAACCCAGCGGTCTCCATCTAGTGCCACGTGTAGGTGTCAGATATAACACAGTCTTCATGGATTGTTCCTACTCGGCCCCCGCCGATCTCCATATAACGTTAACTTTCCGCGATTTTAAGTTTTCTTTTGTTGTGTCACCAAATGTGATAGACTAAAACTCCTCCGGAGCCCCTCTCCGCGATTGTCCAGAGTTATTAGGACACGCCGTGAAGCGCATTATATCAGTCGTGTAATATCTGCCATTGTCGGGCTGTCAGCGCGGTGTGCAGATCTGATCATGGCCGTAAAAACGACGAGCGAGCATATTTACCGAGCAATCCTCTCGCTTCCCGTCAACCCCTAGCTTCTACCACCAATCACCCCACCTTTTCGCCACGTTTTCCTCGCGGTGTTATCGGTGGTTGGGAGATGTCGAACACTGGGAACTGGCAGTATTGAATGTTTTGAACGATTTGCCAATGTAAGATCGTCGTGTTCTAGCACTCCTGTCATCCTATTCCTGATTTCTCTTCGTTTTCGCTTTAGTTCGTCGTGCATTGGCGGGTTGAAATGCCCCCCCCCCCCCCCTCCTCCCACAGATGCCTGCGCTTGTATGCTAGTTTCACTACTAGTGGTTGAATATAAAGTGCTCGAAAGACGACAATGTATTTGCGTCGTGTTCATTTATGAAAGCTGCCCTCTACCGCACTGCTTCACACCGCTGATCTTATCGTTGCCTTGGTTTGATTGGAAGTGGTGTCGGTCTGCATGGTGTTTTGTCTGGGGCGATTGTGTGTACATGTCGTCATTATTTTTGAAGTAATAGGCTGCCAGTTTGGGTATTGTCATTGTGTCATACATAACTGATAACGGTGATTTTAGCACAAGCGGGAAGCAGGTTTTCTGTGTCATGATTGCCATGATGCACGGCATATATATATATATATATATATATATATATATATATATATATATACAAATGTGAATATTCGTTCTTGCGGGGAACAGTAAAGTTGGTCTTGTGAAATCTCGCCAGACATTTTATTTCATGCAACAAAAGGTGCGTCTTGTATTTGAGTCACAGAATGGCAAAGATATGAGGTTGTTCAGTCTCTTTTATTTGCTTGCGGATTTTGGCTTTATAATGTGAATAGTCAGTGCCGTGTCCGGCACGTCTCGGAATAGCTATGTTAGTGTCTGTTTTGTATCAAAAGCTTTGAGTATTAGACTGCGTCGTCTCGCCAGCTGCATTATGGAAATGGCTTCTATTCAGCAGATTCCACATTCAAGTTAATGGTAGGTCCAGCGCACTGGAAGGCTTTAGGTTAAACCTGCCGCATAATGCAGTGGATTGTTATGCTTAGTAATGTGTGTGATGTTTGCTGATCTTCCAGCGTTTCGTGCTCGGTAGATAACAACCTGTGATATTGGCAGTGTTGTGGTTAAGTTGCGCGTTTGGGAAACCAGAGATACGGGATGCAATTATTTCCCGCGGTGCGAGCCCTGTATGTCAGGGTTAGAGGCAGGCGACGCCACGTAGCCTCAGCAGCTGAGTGCGTCGTAGAGCCGCAATGACAAAGAGCTGCCTTTGGATGAGATGTTTTTATGTTCTCCGCATTTTTCAGAGCTTTTCACAGCTTTTCTTTGTTTTGTCTTGTTTTTAACAGAAAACAGTTGCGCCGACAAGCACGGCATTGGTCAGTATACTTTCACTACCAAAACAATCTGAATTAGCACTTAAGCGTGTAGATCACATCTAAAGCCTTTCACGACAAATCACTGCACCAACACGTGAATTATTCGTGCTAACAGGTAATTTAAGCGCACGACACGTACGATCAACAGCATTCCATGTCATTGCACATAGTTGGGTGACAAACTTATCTGAAAGGGTTCACGCCTGCTGTTCAGTCATCTAAAAAATTATGTGGATCAAGCTTTTTTAACACCTTAAGTTTGCTGCACAACAGCTATCAAACATATACACACCACGCACAGCGAGCAAGCAGTTGTACACCTT